GTTAATTTTACCGCGTGACGGACGAAGTCCGTCACTCGTCACTAAGGGTCTCTACTCTGTGACGGAACTCGTCTGTCACCCGTCCTTAAGGGGTTAATGTAACTGTGAAGCTCTTTAGGCAACAACGTTGCAATTAAATGTGCTATATAAATAAATAATAACAGTTACTTCGCCCACTCCAGTTGTAACTACCGGTGGAGGCAAGAACACTTCACACAATTTCCCCAGAAATTGTAGCTTTTCTAGTTTTAATTATAATAGTTTTTACAATTATTGAATTTATTTAGATATTTTTAATATTCACTTATTTAATATTTTTGGAAAAGCTATTCAAATGATTTCATACTTTGAAAAATATTTTATTACTTTCATACAATGGGACCTGATGGAATACACCCAAAGCTATTAAAAGAGCTTAGTGGTGTACTAGCAAAACCATTAACAGATTTATTTAATCAATCATTGTTAACAGGAGTAGTCCCAGAAGATTGGAAGTTAGCGAATGTTGTGCCCATTTACAAGAAAGGTAATAGGGAGGAGTCGGGAAACTATAGGCCAGTAAGCCTTACTTCAGTAGTGGGGAAAGTGATGGAAACCATGTTAAAGGATAGGATTGATGAACGTCTAAAAACACATGGATTTCAAGATCAGAGACAACATGGGTTTACTTCAGGGAGATCATGCCAAACTAATCTTATTGATTTTTTGATTGGGTAACTAAAATAATAGATCAGGGTGGTGCAGCAGACATTGCTTACCTAGATTTCAGTAAGGCTTTTGACACTGTTGCACATAGAAGGCTTATCAATAAACTGCAATCTTTAAGTTTGGATTCCAATATTGTTGAATGGGTAAGGCAGTGGCTGAGTGACAGGCAACAGAGGGTTGTAGTTAATGGAATATATTCGAAGCTTGGACTTGTCACTAGTGGGGTACCTCAGGGATCTGTACTTGACCCATTCTCTTTAATATTTTTATTAGTGATATTGCAGAAGGTCTTGATGGTAAGGTATGTCTTTTGCTGATGATACTAAGATATGTAACAGGGTTGATGTTCCAAGAGGGATAAGCCAAGTGGCAAATGATTTAGGTAAACTAGAAAAATGGTCAGAATTGTGGCAACTGACATTTAATGTGGATAAGTGCAAGATAATGCATCTTGGACGTGAAAACCCAAGGGCAGAGTACAGAATATTTGATAGAATCCTAACCTCAACATATGAGGAAAGGGATTTAGGGGTGATTATTTCTGATGACTTAAAGGTAGGCAGACAATGTAATAGAGCAGCAGGAAATGCTAGCAGAATGCTTGGTTGTATAGGAGAGGTATTAGCAGTAGAAAGAGGGAAGTGCTCATGCCATTGTACAGAACACTGGTGAGACCTCACTTGAGTATTGTACACAGTACTGGAGACCGTATCTTCAGAAGGATATTGATACCTTAGAGAGGGTTCAGAGAAGGGCTACTGAACTGGTTCATGGATTGCGGGATAAAACTTACCAGGAAAGGTTAAAGGATCTTAACATGTATAGCTTGGAGGAAAGACGAGACAGGGGGGATATGATAGAAACATTTAAATATATAAAGGGAATCAACACAGTAAAGGTGGAGACTATATTTAAAAGAAGAAAAACTACCACAACAAGAGGACATAGTCTTAAATTAGAGGGACAAAGGTTTAAAAATAATATCAGGAAGTATTACTTTACTGAGAGGGTAGTGGATGCATGGAATAGCCTTCCAGCTGAAGTGGTAGAGGTTAACACAGTAAAGGAGTTTAAGCATGCGTGGGATAGGCATAAGGCTATCCTAACTATAAGATAAGACTAGGGACTAATGAAAGTATTTAGAAAATTGGGCAGACTAGATGTGCCGAATGGTTCTTATCTGCCGTCACATTCTATACACACGTACGTACGTAAATACATACATATACACATTAATATATCAAAGTAATAAAATATTTTTCAAAGTATGAAATCATTTGAATAGCTTTTCCAAAAATATAAAATTGAGGTCTTGGCAGCGGATGAAGCCTATTATTTATATATATATATATATATATATATATATATATATATACATACATATACATATTTATTATTATTGTTATATTTTATTTACTTTTTTCTTTTTATTTATACATACACACACGTCTATTGGCCTCAGTGGAGCCAAGGCTCCAGGCGGCACTTTAAATTGCCTGCTATGTATTTCTATACACATTTATTGGAGTTTAAAGACACCTAACTGGGTACTACAACGATAGGAAGCCTTTAGGAAAAAGGGGTCACTATGCATATATATATATATATATAAACTCAGTTTATGTAATTAAGATACCTTGTTCTTGTTCTAAGTTACATTTTAGTTGCATTCATTATTAGTACGTTGCCTAACATTTCTCAGTACAGTCTGCTCTTGGCCACACTCCTACTTACACTTCGAAAATTAAATAGTCCTCCTTTGTCCATTTGAAAAGTTTGAGAGGTATATCAGCAGAACAACTAAACTATTTAAATAGAATAAGAAAAAAATAAATATGAAGCCAAGTAGTGCAGTGGCTTATACACATTTACCTCCACCACAGATCCATGGCCATTGCAATGTAAACTACATAGCTGAAAAGAGACTTGCGTCCATCAAGTTCAGCCTTCCTCACATTTGTTTTTTACTGTTGATCCAAAAGAAGGCAAAAAAAAGCCAGTTTGAAGCACTTCCAATTTTGCAACAAACTAGGAAAAAAATTCCTTCTTGACCCCAGAATGGCAGTCAGATTTATTCTTGGATCAAGCAGTTATTACCCTACATTGAAAAATTATATCCATGAATATTCTGTTTTAGCAAGTATGCATCTAGTAGTTGTTTGAACATCTGTATGGACTCTGATAAAACCACTTCTTCAGGCAGAGAATTCCACATCCTTATTGTTTTTACAGTAAAAAAAAAAAAAAAACTTTTCTTGGACGAAGCTCAAATAGTGTATTAGCAGTGAAATCTCAAAAAGTGTATTAGCATATGCATGCCTATGTGTACTGTACCAGAGGGTTACATTCATTTGCATGAACAGCCAGACATTTAATGTAAATAAAAAAATAAAAGTATATATATATATTTATATATATATATATATCACAAACAAGTGAATTTAGAGTGACACTTTTTTTTGTTTCAAATTGTTTTTATTTTACACGTTAAATGGTATCAGATGTAGATCATATGCGAAAAATTAATGCACTGTTGCCTTCGCAGAAGCACAATAAATCAGATAATAGACATATAGTGCGTATGGTTGCCTGCGCAGAGGCATAAAAGGCTACAAATATAGATCAGTCGCGTTTAACCAATGTCGGCATAGTGCACTGCACAGAAAAACTTAGTCTGGTTTGATTAATGGCAATTTACTTAAGACATAACTGTAATGCTTATAATAACAAGGTTTGTGAACTTATGTTGCTTAAAATTAATGGTACTAGTAATACGGATTATCTGCATGTTTGAAGCTTAATTTAGAAAATCAAATAAAGTTTGCGGTCATATGTTAAGCTTGGATAACTTTGCCCTCCGGCCTAAGTGCTTAGTACATGTTGAGAGAATTATGGTGTTGGATAGTGTGAAGAATCCCCCTCCATTCATTCGGTACTTTCCCTCCCTGCTACTTTATTCATGGATTTATTACTGTGACAAAGTGCCCTTCGCCACTTGTGCCTGGAGAGGTCTGCTTGCCCGCCTCTTGCCCTGTGACTATGGACCCTGGGAGATTTGGCCCGTTCAATTCAGTATTATAGGAGTTATGTATTTTTGTATCCTTTTGTGTTTTACTGGGAACATGTGCTCAATGGAGTCTGCCTCTATCCCTGGATAATTGGATTATTTTCCCCATTGTCTCCAGGATAGAGGGCTCTGTAAAACCGGTTTGGGCCAGATATCCATGCTGCCAGCCAGGCCCCAAAAGATACTTTACTAACTTCTGAACCCCTGGTCTGATTCATGCCATTTTTTGAAATGTTGTTTCCCTGAATGGATTGATTGTGAATATATAATTTTTATGTGAATGTGATGTATATTTTAGAAGTTATGAATATGCTGTAAAAACTGTATTTTTCCTGCCTGTGATAATTGCATCTTCTATTGTATAAGATAATTGAATCACAGGCAGAGGGGAGGATTTTGTGTGGGCTGTAACCTCTGTTTTATTGGCTACTGTAGATAACGTGTGTGTCCCTCCCCTGCATGGGAGCAGGGCATAAAAGAAACTGTAGCTTGAATACCTGTTGTTGTTAATTCCAGTAAAGTCTTGTTCCAGCATTAAGCTTTGGCTCATGTGTGGATTATTCGGCGATTCCAGGGATATTTCTACTTGTGGAATATTGGGTGACTTTCTTTTATGGGAAGAAGGGAATGCTTGACGGTGATACCTTATACTAACGTCACAGATAGCATATATCGGTATCATGTAAAACATGGCTTGTGTAGGCTAAGCGAAACAGCTAATTTGCATAATAATCATATGGCAGAGGCATGTACCGCAAAGCGTATTGTTGATCAGTTAAAACGGTCAATGCCTGGTAAGGCAAAAAGGTTACGGTGTGTGAACATATGTTGCGAATGCTTAGCGGTACCCATAATACAAATTGAGTTTGCAGCAATATGTTTAAACTTGGTTTACAGTTGCCCTCTGGCCTAACGGCTTAGCGCATGTTGAGAAAATTAGAATGATGAACAGCATATATTTGTGTTATGCAAAGCATGGCCTAAGTAAGCAGTGTGGAGCATCACCTTTATGATCGTAAATTTTTTGTGTCTTGTGACAGCGCCTAAACAATTATGGTGCAGGCGAGCAGTAATAAGAAATGCAGAAAGAGTAAGGATCAGTGTTATGGATAACAACAATACAAAAGCAGACTGGTAATAACCATTAGTGTCTGATGAGCGTCTAAGTACAAAGCACTTTATAAAAGTTCCTATTATTGATTCAGGAGCTAAATGTCCCATCCAATCATTGTGTGCGAATCAGAAAGTTGTGTAATTTGGCTGGCTGTATGAGAGTAGTGCCGGGTATGGCCCCTGTGGGCCCAAGAAGCATGTGGAGTGTCCAGGTCACCCGCACAGGTGAGGGAGCCGCCATCACCACTCGGTCTCCCATGGCACCAGGCCCCGGTCCACCCCCCGGTTTGGTGAGCACTCGGGGACGACATGTGCTCCTCCGCCCCCGAAGAGTCCGCTCACCCAGTGTCCCCTGCACCTCCCCCGAACCTTCGGTACCCCGGTAGGTACATGCGTCACTCCGTCTGTCTCTCCCAGCGCCGGCCACTTCTATGGGACAGGGGATGCACGGCCGCTCAGTCACCGGTCCGCTGGAGGTGCGCATCATCCAGTCCTGTTCGCCTTGCATCGGTGGAGACAAGTTCCTTCGGGTGCCGTCCTCATCCGAAGGTCGAGCTGCCATGCTGTCGGCCCCTGGGTCGCCCGGGTCGTTCGTCCAAGGCCCCAGTCGCTGCGGGTTTAAGGGCCGGCGGTGGGGCATCTACTCGTGCATGGGCTAGCCACCCTCCGTACCTCTCTTCCGGCATCTCATTTTAGTTGCCTTTGCCAGTTCTGGGGATCTGCATGGGCTGAGGTCAGAGGCTCCCGCCCCAGCGTCTGCCGTCCACACGTGGCCGGGATTACCCCCACCGGCCGTGGGGGGGAAACAGGGCCGTGCCCAGAGCCCGCATTGCCCTACATGCCTCTGGTGCGCATTTCTTTTTGTGTGTGTGGATCATGCTTATCTGCTGCTGGTGTCTCGGCTGGTAGAGCCATGTAGGCCGGGTGCGACAGTTTTGGTGCTCCGGGTGCATTGTTGGCCTCATGTTTATTATCGGAATGGAGCTGGGGTGGTCCTTTGTTGCAGTATGTATAGATATTTGGCGTTGGGGCCGTGCATATGCTTTTTTAGTGCCGGTCCCGGACCCGTGATGGTCTGCTTCCATGCGGCCCGGCCCCGCCCCCTCGTGACACGTTTTTGTTTTTAATCAAGGTCTCAATAATTTCCTCCATTTTAGGCCACTAAGCGTTATTCTTACTAGAGCTTTCATGTGAAAAATTCCAGGATTCCAGAGCATTCATACTTGAGCTGGTCTTGCTTTAGGATTGGTGGATTTTGGCGCACTACAAATGGTTTGAATTTTTCTTTAACTTTTTTATTTGGGCCACCTCCTGAAATGAAGGAGTATGCACAGCCTGAATCTACTTCTATTTTGCACTTACAACCTCAGTGTATGGACCTTCTGTCTAGAAAAGAAAAAAAGTATTTTCCCACTTCATTCATGTAGCTGTTTGAATAAATATTTGGAGACATTTCACCATTAAAACTGACATGTGGAATGTTAGCAGGATGCAAGACTGTCTTTAATATTGATTGGACCCTGGGAAAGCATTTGCTTGGGCCCCCCTTGATCCTCCCCCTTCACTCATTGGCATGCAAACATGTCCTCCACTCCAACGCAGTGGTGGAACTAAAGTAGAAAGGACCCTGGTACAATTGTCTTGCCCCCCTTTCCCCCATTGCATATTGTATATAATCCTGTTGTTTAATACAGAGGTGTGTTTGTATGTAGTGTGGAAGCTTGAATGCAGGGGTGTATTTGTGTGTAGTGTAGACATTTGTACACACGCAAGCTGAAACACATGCAGATACACACACTAACAGACATACATTGCAAAATCTACACTTCTAAACCCATCCTCCAGTTGTCTACCTTTTGCTGGAGAGTAGCTTCCCTGGGTTCTTATGTGGTGCCTGAGGCTGTCGGGAGTTCAGCCCCCCTCTCCCTGCCTCCTCCTCCCTCCCGCACGGCTCTATTTTTCTCTACGAGGAAGTGCCTCGCTGCTGTCACTTCCTCTCAGCACTGCCGAAAAGTAAAGGAACCCGGTTGTGCTGTTACAGAGCTACAGTGCCCAACCGGTCCCTTGCAGATACAAGCCCACCATGGGTCACCCAATGGGCTAATTTGTGTGTGGGCCTCCGGCTGCACAGGAGGGGCCAAAAGGTATAAATAGAGTTTAGTGAGAGCAGCAGAGCCAACGGGGCTGCTGCCTTGGGCCCCCTTTGGAGTAACTGGGCCTGGGGAAGCTGCCACATTTGCCCTGCATTAATGACGGCCCTGCTAGGATGCTGCATTGCTGCTAAACACGGTATACATATGACAATATTACATAGACATTGCCACAAACACACAGTAGTAGTGCGACTGACACACTTAAAGAATGTCTTTATTTCTACTCCCTATTATGTGTTATGTAACATCATCTGATGCAATTTCATGTCACGCATAAAGTAATTATGCAAATTAGCATGTCCATTCATTTTCCTCAAAAAAGGTGGGAACCCTAATTAAATGTTATACTTACCTCTATTGGTTTTGTGTGTCACTGGTTTTTACTTGGCAACTTTCTGTATATGACCTGCACGTTCACTTTGATGAGACAATTTGGAAATTACATGTACTACATCTGCGATTTTCCTCACAATCATAAGTTCTCTAGAATGATTTTTTAGAATTCACCTTGTGCACTAGATTTATTAGTCAATGTTGTTTCTATTTTAAAAACTGCAACAATAAAAGATAGGTAAAAGGAAAATTAAACAGGCAAGCCATGCTCCAGATATCCCTTAAGATTTTCTTTAAAAGTTTCCATCTGAAGTGTTCTGCATCTGCAGCCAATGCTCATCCCCAGTATTGAATATTAGACTGTATTATACACTGATCATCCACAATATTAAAAACCACCTGCCTGATATCATGTATGTCCCCCTCTTGCTGCCAAAACAGCTCTGATTGGTAAAAGCATGGACTCCACGAGACCTCTAAATGTGTCCTGTATTATCTGACACCAAGACATTAGCAGCAGATCCTTTAAGTCCTGCAAGTTTTAAAAAGTGCAGCTTTCATGGATCGGATCTGTTCTAGCACAACCGACAGTTGCCCAATTCGATTGAGATCTGGGGAATTTGGAGGCCAAGATAACACTTTGAACTCTTTGTCATGTTTCTCAAACAATTCCTGTATAATTCTTGCAGTGTGTCTGGGTGCATTATCCTGCTGAAAGAGGAGACTGCCATCAGGGAACAACGCTGCCATAAAGGGGTGTACGTTGCCTGCAGCAATTTATAAATATGTGGCAGTGGCGGATCCAGAGCCTGATCTCGGGAGGGGCACTTGTAGATTATTTAAAGAAATAATCCAGACACATCCAGACACAGACCTGAGGTCTGCTGGGAAATGGGGCTGTAGTAGTGCATAGGAGCAGTAGTGTGTGTGAGTGGTGCAATGTGTAAGGGGTGCAGTGTGTGTGTGTGAGGGGGACAGTGTGTGAGCGTGTGTGAGAGCGGCATTGTATGTCAGGGATGCAGTGTATGTGTGGGACAGTATGTGTGTGTAACAGTTGCAGTGTGTGTGTGTGAGTATTGCAGTGTATGTGGGCAATGTGTGTATATGGGGCGGCAGTGTATGGGGGGCAGTATGTGTGTATGGGGGCAGTGTGTGTGTATGAGGGGGCAGTATGGGGGCAGTGTGTGTGCATGGGGGCATGGGGGCAGTATGGGTGTATGGGGGGCAGTATGGGTGTATGGGGGACAGTGTAGAAACATAGAATGTGACGGCAGATAAGAACCATTCGGCCCATCTAGTCTGCCCAATTTTCTAAATACTTTCATTAGTCCATAGTCTTATCTTTTAGTTAGGATAGCCTTATGCCTATCCCACGCATGCTTAAACTCCTTTACTGTGTTAACCTCTACCACTTCAGCTGGAAGGCTATTCCATGCATCCACTACCCTCTCAGTAAAGTAATACTTCCTGATATTATTTTTAAGCCTTTGTCCCTCTAATTTAAGACTATGTCCTCTTGTTGTGGTAGTTTTTCTTCTTTAAATATAGTCTCCTCCTTTACTGTGTTGATTCCCTTTATATATTTAAATGTTTCTATCATATCCCCCCTGTCTCTTCTTTCCTCCAAACTATACATGTTAAGATCCTTTAACCTTTCCTGGTAAGTTTTATCCCGCAATCCATGAACCAGTTTAGTAGCCCTTCTTTGAACCCTCTCAATATCAATAAGGTATCAATATAGGTATGGGTGTATGGAGGCAGTGTGTGTGTATGGGGGGCAGTATGGGTGTATAGGGGCAGTGAGTGTGTATGGGGGGCAGTATGGGTGTATGGGGGGCAGTGTGTGTGTATGGGCGGCAGTGTGTGTGTGTGTGTGTGATATAAGGGTATGGGGGCTTTTTTTTTTAATATATATATATATATTATTTTTTTTTAAATAAATATTCTATGTCCCCCCTCCCTTCTTACCTTTACTGGGGGGAGGAGAGACATTTCCCTGGTGGTCCGGTGGGGGATTCATTGGTGGTCCCAGTGGGGAGAGTGAACTCTAGCCCACGCTCTCGCGAGATTTGGAGCGTTGCCGTGGTAACCGCGGCAACGCTCCAAATCTCGCGAGAGGAGGACCCGGAGGAGCTGCAGGTTGAGCTCCGGGTCCTTCCTCTCACTCCCTCTCACTTCCCTGCCGGCTGTCAGGACAGTGCCTGCGGACCGGGGAGGGAGATCTGTGATCTCCCCTCCGGTCCGCAGGCACATTGCAGGGCTGGCAGGGGAGGGAGAGGGAGACCGTCGGTATTCTCGGGGGGGACAATTGCCCCGTTGCCCCCCCCCCCGGATCCGCCACTGATATGTGGTATATGTCAAAGTGACATCCACCTGAAGGCCAGAACAAAAGGTTTCCCAGCAGAACATTTCCCAGACCATAACACTGCCTCCACTAGCCTGCCTTCTTCCCATAGTGCTTCTTGCTGCCATCTCTTCCCCAGATAAACAAGGCACCTGCAGCCGGCCATCCACCTGAACTAAAAGAATATGTGATTCATTAGATCAGACAAGCTTCTTCTATTGCTCCATGGTCCAGTTCTGACGCTCACGTTCCATATTGAAGGTGCTTTGGGTGATGGACAGGAATCATCATGGGCACTCTGACAGATCTGTGGCCACTGTGATACACTGTGTGTTCAGACACCTTTCTAGTATGGCCAGCATTAAGGTTCAGGTTTTTTGCAGTTTGCGCTACAGCAGCTCTCTGTATGATCAGAGCACACAGCTTTTGTTCCGTACATGCATCAATGAGACTGATGCCAGTTCACCATTTGTCCTTCCATGCACTAAGACTTGCAGTTTTGGAGATGCCCTGGCAAAGTCGTCTAGCCATCACTATTTGGTTTTTGTCAAAGTCACTCAAATAATTTTGCTTGCCATTTTTTCCTGTTTCCAACTCATGAAATTAAAGAACTGGCTGTTCACTTGCTAACTAATATATATATATATATATAAAAAAATAACAATTGATTCCTGCACTCACGCTGAATTTTCCCTTCACGACCGGGTGCCAACCATATATAGCCAAAAAATATAAAAAATATAAATTAATGGTTGCACTCACGGTTTTTCCAAATAAAAGTCCAAAGTTTATTGTCAATTCATAAAAGCT